AATCTATTTTATTTGCTCTCGTATAATGGTTGTTTGTCATCATCAAAAAGGAAGATATTGTTAGGTCCTTTATTTTGATGATGATTTACAAACACCATTATTGGTGCTAATTGTGTATTGATCTATATTGTAGATTACAATTCATTAGCATCATATATGAAGGATTGGATAGAATATGAGCTACAACGACGATATCTAAAGGAGGTGGAGGCAAAGTGATAAAGCAATGTTTATCAAGAATACCATATGCAATAAGAAACTTCATCAACTCAAAAGCAATATCAAGACTCAAGAAATGTATTTCTATGCGAGAGATATTTGCTACTTTTATTTTCTCTCTAGTGCTAGAATATAGGCAAGAAGTTTATTGATTACATTTGAAGCTCATGGGATAACACACTTGCACATTTTCAAAATTTGTATTTTGATACTTTTGCTAAATTGATGATTTTCACAAATACGAGGACATTTTTACAAAATTCCTTTTCAAAAAAGTTTGTCAAAATGTTTATAAACTATTTACAAAGTTTTACATTTTTTAGAATTTATTTACTATTTTTTAGAGAGCATTGAAATTTAATTTCGAAATCGATTCAGGCTGATAACATATTATCAGTCAACTGACTAGTCGACTGATGAAGTCAGTCGACCAATGTGTCGACTGATGAAAGTCCCTGGAATCATTATTTTGCTCTCTGTTCTGTTTCGATCGACTGAAATGATCATTAGTCTACTGATGAGCTAGATATCGTATACAACATTCAGCTCACCAGTCGACTGATGCTTCCCGTCAGTCGACTGATGGGTATTGTAACGGCTATATTTGTATAGTTTCAGAAATCCAATTTTCTTAGGATTCTGTCTGGTTTTTTGGGGTTTTGGTTGCAGTATTCTCTCCTTATAAATACCTAACAACCCCATCTACCTTAGTACTGTTTGGTTCAAAAGTCGCTGCTGTGGAATTCATTATAACTTTGTTCGATTACAACAAATTCGAAAGAATAATCTTTTTATAAGACTTTTTCTACACAACAAAACAAAAATTAAAACTCTTGAGAAACAAACACGAAAATCGTCTATCAATTCTCGTTTTCGTGGGACTTTGCCTGTGCCGGGAACGCTTTGGTTCGTGGACCGCCGATTCACAGATCGTGAAGAGGGGGCTTATGATTCTAACTTCGTTATCGAAGTAGAAATTGAAACGATATCTTATCGAAGTAAGATAGTCGTTCTTCTTAAAATCAAGTCGAAGCTTAATTTCAAGGCGTTGCAAGAAAAGAACTCAAATCTCTGCTCTCTCTGCTCTGGAATGCTCTAACAAATGCTCGATCCTCGTCAGAAGTGACCCTAGGGGGGTATTTATAGCCTCAAGGGTCAGTAACTGCAAAAACTTAACAATCGAAGAAGTCAGTACGGCGAGACAGTGTTTACTGTCTCGCTGGGCGAGACAGCGTTTGCTGTCTCGACCCGCGAGACAGTAAATTTGCTGTCTCGCTCAGCGAGACAGTAAATGCTGTCTCGGAAAATGGCAGTTTCTCGCTGTAACTGTTCTCCCACGTTTCAAACTCCGTTATTTTGGCAGTTATCCACGTGATTTTCGCCCATGATGTTTCCCACGTCCCTTGGCAGTTAATGGACACGTGTAGGGCAGTTACAAATGTAGTTTTGACTATTTCAACACTATCTCGCTGGCGAGACAGCAAAGACTGTCTCGCTGGCGAGACAGCAAAGACTGCCTCGCTGGCGAGACAGTTCATACTTGTTTTGATTTTTTCCAAAACAGTATGAAATCCTTTCTTGTGAATTTTTGAGTGATCTTCTCTATGCTTGGAATATCTATTAGCATTTTTTGACGCCTACAAGTACCAAGCTTTCATTGCAAATTACTTGAGTTTAAGTTTATTGTTTTCAAAAGAGCTTCAACTTTCATTTGCTTTCACTATTTCTAAGTTCACATCCCAAACTTCAATTGTAATCTCTCCTCTTGCCATAGGACTACTGTAAAGAGAGAGTTTTTCTTCGAATTGTGACTATTGTGAGCTTGATCTCGTGAAGATCTACTGTGTGGTTGTGAGATCTCGGAGTAGTTTGTTGTGTAGAAGAAGTTCCGGCTTTCAAACCGGATGTGTAATGGATTTCTCCTCGAGAGTGGGGAGCGGGGACGTAGGTCAGCGGACCGAACCTCGTGAACACATAGCGCGCCATCAATTGGCTAACTATCTCTATCTTTACTCTCTTTTTATTATCATTGCATTTCATTTTGTGTGTGGTTTGTTGGAATTACTTTTAATTGCATTTTATTCATCCATAAACTCTATTCACCCCCTCTAGGGCCTTTCAGAAAGATGAGATGAAGTCTCTCATGTCAAACCATACGTGGAAACTAGCTGAGTTGCCCACGTGTAAGAAGACACTCCATAATAAATGAGTGTACTGGGTAAAAGAGGAGAAGGATGACTCCAGAAGATATAAAGCTCGGCTAGTTATCAAAGGATTCCAGCAGAAGGAAGGAATTGACTACACCGATAATTTTTCTCCAGTGGTGAAGCTCAATACTATTAGGACAATGATGAGTATTGTAGCTATTGAAGATCTTTATCTCGAGTAGTTGGATGTGAAGACGGTGTTTCTTCACAGAGATCTAGAAGAGGAGATATACATGCACCTGCTAGAAGGTTTCTCGGAAGAAAAGAAGAAGAACATACTGTGTAGACCCAAAAAGAGCTTGTATGACCTGAAACAAGCACCAAGGAAGTTGTACAGAAAGTTTGACGGCTTTATACACAAAGAAGATGAGCTCAAAAATTGGTTCAGGCGAGCTCGGGAATTGGTTCAGGCGAGCTTGAGCGGGACTCCGTAAGCGAGCTCGAGTGGTATCTGGCGACAGCCTGTCGCCAGCCTGTCGATTAGGGTTCCCTTATAAAAGGAACCCATATCTCCTCTCCTCTGTGCGACTTCTTCTTCTTCTTCTCTCTCTCTCTCTCTCTCTCTCTCTCTCGAGATTTTCCCTCAGGCGGCAGCTCTCTCTCTCTCTACTCTCTCGTGATCTCTCTTCTTTCTCCTTCAGCTCACGAGATTTTGAGGAAGGGAACTCAAGAAGAGGGGAATTTATTGAGGGGGATTTATTAAAGAGGGGGAATCAATATCGTACCTACAGTGTTGACTTGCATTTTGAGAGATCTTAAGTCTGAGATCTGCTCTTGTATTGTAATTTCTTGTTGATTAATAAGAAATTAATTATGTGGCTCTTGAGGACGTAGGCAAGTTTGCCGAACCTCGTAAATCTTGGTGTATTTTTCTTCATACTGCGTTTCTAGCTGTTTTAGGGGTTTAGCGTAGCCCCGGGTATTTCCCAACAGTGAGATATCCTAAAGTCTAGGGATTTTAGTGGAATAAAAAAAGTTGAAGGGGTTATCTATAACATCCCCAAAGTTTGAGGAGGGATAGAATTAAAATAGTTGAGAGGATTATTTGCAACAGCCTCTAAATTTAATGGGGGTTTTCTGAATTATCCCTTTCAAAAATAAGTTCTTCCAAAACACGTGTTAAATAAGTTTCTAGAGTCTCATTAGCTGTATCAAGTAGGTCCTTTAGAATTCGTTGTTTCAAACCCATGAAACAGTCAAAGTTTTCCATTGTATCCTCATCTCCTTTATAAAATTTCAGCTAATATGTATAATGGTCATGTCTCTTATATATCGAGACCCAATCCAAAACCATCAGTATTTTATTTTATTTTATTTTCAGTTTTCTCATTCCTCTCTCTTACTTTTCTCTTCTAGATCTATTTTTGTTGTTTCTCCTTTAATATCTATTTGTTTAATCTTATCTTTATACTGGTTTCTTGTTTCAAAGACGTTGAATTAATCATACAGCAAAAACTTTGTAAAATGATGATGGTACAATGAGAAACTTTAGCACATTTAATTACGTTTGTGCTAATTATCACATTGATATTTAAAATAAACCTCACTTATCATTTTGATATTAATTTAAAATAATACTGATATCTTTTTGGTATTTAAAGTCTAGAAAAAGGGTAATTTGGTACCAGATTTCGTAGTTTTCGATGAGTACTATAGATTTTTCATGGAAAATTTTCTTCTACTAGCTCTTTGACTTCTTCAAGTTATTGTATTTTACATCATACTTCTCCTTCAGTCTCTCCAAACTCAAATTTCTTTCTACAGCTTGACCCTCCTTTTTGGTATTTAAAGTTAATGATTTGCGTGGCATATATATAATATAATATAATATAATATATATATATATATATATATATATTATATATATATATATATATATATATATATATATATAATATATATTTATATATAATATATATATATATATATATATATATTATATATATATATATATATTATATAAGTCATAACTAAACGGCAGCCTAATGAAGTTAATTAATTTTCCAATATATTTAGAGAGAGAACGGAGAGAAGGAAGATGATTGCCGACGATCTGGGAGAAGAGGATGAAGAGGCCGGTTGCTGCTGATGAAAGGGTTGGGCTAACGTGTACTTCGGTTGGAGGTGGAGGGAGAAAGAGTGATTAATATTAAGGTAAAAAATTATAAAAGAATTGATGTGAAAGTTTTCTATAATATATATATATATATATATATATATATATATATATATATATATATATATAAACCGATAAGCACTGTTTTTTGCAGCGTGGGACTAACCCATACGAAGCTAATATATAGATGATAGTTTTGAAGGGTTTTTTTTTTTTGACAAAAACTTATTAAAGATTAAACATAAAAAAAAGACCCAATTAAATTTATTGGGGGCTTTTGTGAAATCAACCCAAAAAAGCTAAATAAGGTGATTCAAAATTGTGTTATGACAACTAATTTATTTCATGACACTACTACATTACACACATATACAAACTACATAACCCTAAATATATAGTTTCTAATTAAAAAAAAGGGCAAGACACAAGAGAATTCTCAAATTAAGTTAGTTAATTACCTGTTTCCGGACGGGACATCCAACAGCCATGGTGCATCTGTAGTAAGCCCGCGGACATGGGTTTCCCTTCGCCATCTTCTGTCCGTATTTTCTCCACTGGCACCCATCACTTATCTAATATATATGCATGCATATTTAGATTTTGGATTAAATCGCGAACATAATTAATTAATCTTTTTTTCAAAAGAGAAATCAATTGAATATATAGCTAGCTAATTAGTTACGTTATACCGATCACTCATCAGTAACATAATTTAATTAATTACCATTGGCGCTTCCGATCTAGCACGGACTGAGACTCTAGCCTTTCTGCAGGGCAGCTCGGACACTTGATCAGAAGTAGCTAATTTTGGGCTCTTGTTGCTCTCCGGCCAGCTCGGCGAGCTCATTTCAACGCCTGTCTGCCTCTTGCCGAAGGGAACTAGTCCTCGGTCCCTTGAAGGCAAACCCGTGCTGTTGCTGGGAGAAGGTGGTTCTTCATCGTCGCCGGTTGACCTAGGGTTTCCGTCGGTTGCTAGGGTTTTGTTCGGGGCGGGCTCCATAAATTGTTGTGCAGATAGCGGAGACGGGCTTGCCGTGTTGTTCTTGCCTTTCTGATGATTGATTGATAAGTTTGAGATGTCAGTTAACCAAATATTGTTGAATTCTAATGCACAAATTGGGTGCAGCTAGGACTAAATATACTGCAAAAACATGGTTATTCATTACAGTATCGATCTTTTGCAGATATCTAATTAAAGATCTAGCAAGTCACCAAGCACACTAGAGGATATGATGATATACATGAAGTCTTAATGAGCTAGTGAATGTTTTTGCCTGGATTGAGAATGAATAAAGAATGAAAGAACAACAATCAACAACAATCAAATTTGAGGTAAATAAAGACATCAAACCAAATCAAATTTGAAAACCTTTTTCCTATATATGAGAGTGAAGCGCGTCACTTTAGCGAAGTAATCCGTTTTTTTAACCAATATGATGATTGATTATTAGAGTGCAATATATATATGGCAATCAGATATTTGAATTGTGAGATAGGCCCTTCCTTTCCTATTTTTTCACTCAAAATCCTTCACCTTTTTCCCCTTGAGAAGAAGAAAAATAAAAACTTCTAGGTTCCTAATATGAATTAGTGAGGAGTACTTGAACACTTTTAACTGTTTCCTATTTTAGTGCATATATGCCCATATATATCATATCTTTCGAAAAGGAAAAAAATATCGACCCACAGATTTCTAACTGTTATATCTAACAGCCCCAAAACTAATTACAGAAAGAAAGAAAAAGGAAAAAAAAATAACAATAAAAGAAAAGAAAAATAACACTAACAAAAATATTCTACTCCACACAATAATCAAACGTATATATCCAGCTTCCCGGCCTACCTCACGTGCTTGTTGCTGCATGATTAGAAGAAGTTGATTGTGAAGAAGGCTGTAATTTCTTGTGACTTGATCCAACATGCTCCTCAACCTCAGATTCTCATCGCTCATTCGATCTAGCTCTCGTTTAAGTGTAAACAACTGTTATCATGATCGAAGCCGGGCAACGACATAAAATTCCAATCTTGTTTTTAAGACCCAAAATATATAAAACAATATTTAAAAACTAAAATTGAAAACCTTATGCGAATTAATGAAGCACACCTCATACTTTGGGCTCTCTTTGTTTGTCACCGCAGTCTGACCACCCTTCAAATCACCCGTTAATAGATGTAGTCCAATCTGCTTAATTAACATAACAGATACTAATAATTAGCTTAAAAATCTAAGACCAATAAAACTATATATATATATATATGCACACAATTATATTACTCAGGGGGGATCGAAAACTTGAGAAAACCCGTATTTAATTCAACCACACTTACGTTAACGCTCGATCTTGTACAAGACGGAGCACTACCTTCTCCATGCCCTCCTAGTTCTCCATCCCCATCTCCGGCCGGCCTAGCCGTCTGCTCCCTGAGCTGTCTCCCTGAGAAAAAATCCAACTCCTCAATCCCATTCTTTCGATCAATACTACCCTCGTCGTCGTCATCTCTCGAATCGCGGCAGGAGAATCCGTTGGGGTTTAGAAACTCCATTTCTCTTGGCCTCTCCATTGAGATGGAACTGAAGGAGGAGGAGGAGGAGAGAAGAAGAAAGAGATGGTGCAACAAATTAAGGGAGGAGAAAGTGTAATAAAAGAAATTTGGAGTCTTCGCAAGTAAGGGGTTTTGGTCCAATTAAAAGGCTCCGGAGGGTGCATGACAGCTAGCTGCTGCGGCCGCGGGGGGAATTCCCCGTTCCGTTCCGTTCCGTTAGATGACGGGGCATTTCCCGCACGTGCGGGAGGGGTCAACGAGGTCGACGGCACGGCTCGCTCTCTCTGACGGTTGTTACGGATGGAGGGCTCTGAGGGGGTCCCACGTGCTGAGATGGATACCTAATCCCCCTTGACTCTGGCGTTCGTGCCACCTCACCGTTAGGTGGACCATAAGGATTGACCGGGGACCGGGGTTATTTATGCCCAAAGTGGTACTTACAAAGCTTCCAAAATTAGGCCAAGATTTTGTTTAATTTTCAGTGTGAATAACAGATTGTTTCATGGAAATTCTATGAATTTGTTTGTAGAAATCTTCTATACAGGACTTTTGAAAGAAAAATATCCATTAAAAAAAAATCTCCCAAAGGTAGTTTTAAAATAGTTATACTAAAAGGTCCATCGATTTGAATGTGTTACCTTTAATTAACCGTGATAACTTAACATTTAAAAAAAATATTCCTCTCATCTTCTTTAAATTTTTATAGCACAAACTTGTAAAGTCTATCTACTCTGATTAAGGGGGTGTTTGGTTCAATTTCTAAAAATTATAGGAAATGTTTTCCACCTAAAATATGATTTTCTTGTATTTCTTAAAAAAATTATAGGAAAAGTTTTGAGAAATAAAAAAGTACCAATTTTCTTGTTTTTTGTACTTTGTTTGTTTGGTTCAAAACAAGAAAATAGCTCATAACTTTATAGAAAATAACAAGATTTGGTAGGTTTTTAATTAAATATGGTATGTGTCAGATTTCTGGTGATTTCCTCTCATTTTGAGAGGAAATTGTTTTTTGTAAAATTTGGTAGGTTTTTATATTTTATAGAAAATATTTCTGTAAATTTTTTGTTGAACCAAACACAATTTACAGAAATCTCTGGAAAACTTTTAATTACAAAGTTGCCATTATCAGATGTTTTGAGAAAAGTTATCTCAAAAAATGTGCAATCAAACAGCCCCTAAGAGTACAAAAATATATATTTACAAATCTACGGATGTATCCTTACTCGAATCCATTAGTATACAAATATGGTTACTAAATATCAAATATGACAAGAAATGATTACAGACCGGGATTTCTCACCATCCGAATCCTCATCTAAAATATCTAAATACATATATGGATGATACATATATATGCTATTGTTTTAATCTTTGAGCAAAAGATATAGAAGAATTGAAAAAGATATCATAAAGACCCTAGAAAGATTTAACACTAGAATGAATTGGATGGATCATGGAGGGTGGGGGGTGCGAAAAAATATTTGTATCCGGAAATATATTTGTATCCATATCCATTTGAATATTGATATAATTACTAAATATCTATATTCAATAGAATATGTTACCAATTATACAAATATGCATTGAAATATTCGGATTCGTGTCCTAAATATTTGATCATATACTTGCAATTGTTTGATTATTAAACTAATTAATTTGTAGTTAATTTTGATGGTAAAAAAAATCGGTGCTACATGCAATATTTGGCATTTTACAATTGTAGGGTACCAAACAACCTGTGTAAGTTTTTCGAGTGCAAGTCGACTGCATATCTGCTATCATATCAAATAGGAAACAGTTATCTTATACGGTTTGGTCCTCAACCTATGCCCGCGACTTAAATTTTTAAATTTCTTTCTGCTTCTCGTCGCTCACAAACAGCCCGCCCGCCCCCGCCCCCCCCAACCGCCACCCACACCAATCTTTCATTGCTTATTGTGATAGGCAACCGCTAACTCCCATTCAGTTTCATCATCAGAAAAAATAGAATGAATCTGAACATCTTGACCAATTTATGCGATACAATTTAATTATTGCTAGCCAGTATTGGATTTAATCTAATAAATCTATTTGTGGGCACATATTATTAATCAATGTGTATTGCTATCTTTAAGGATAACCCACTAAAGTGATCAATTAATTTGGGTTAATGGGTATTTAAATAAATCATGGGGTTATATGTGCAGATACCAGATTGTAATTGTGATTTGTTGAGGGGCCAAATTATAAATTTACAACATCTATAAATAAGGGGTTATGGTCCCTAATCTAGGGTTACATTCTCTAATTCTTTTCACCCCCATCTAGAGAGAAATTCGGTTATAGAGAAACCCTAAGGTTAGAAGATCCAAAACTCATCTCATGTTTCATCTATGGATTCAGGTATAAGCTTTCGCTCTTTTGATTATTGTTAATCTCTTCGAATTAATCATGGTTTTATGGTTTTAGATCTTAAGTTTTTATTAGATCTAACAGCCAGTTCTTTCCAGATATTAATGGCTTGTTTGGATGGAAGGTAGAGAGGGGGAGGGGAAGAGAAATATAATTTTAATCTTGTTTGCGAGTTCCATTTAGGAATATAGAGGAGGGGGGGGAGGGGGGGGGGATTTGAGCCAAAATCTTACGCCCCAAATTGGGGTGTAATGAAGGGGAATGGAAGGAAATGGAACTTGTCCCCTTCCTTCCCTTCCCTAAGTCATCTCCCAAACACACTGTAAAGGGTTTCTGTAGATTTTATCTCTCAAATCTTTCACAATTTGATATTAGCCCCTCTAAGCATTAAAATTACTAGAAGGACTCTCAAATCATCAGGATAATGGTAATTTGGTCTCTCAAGTACTCGCTTTACATTAGATGAGTCAAAAACAAGCACTCACGGAGTAGTTTAGTAATTGAGCGTGTTAAGAACTAAACTAGCGATAATGCACAAATTTTACTGAAAATTTTAAAAAAGAGACCAAATTGCAACAAGCCAATAAATAAACCTAATGATCGAAAAAGCCTATCAGCAATTTCCATGATTTGAACGACTACTATATATAAAATATTATTGAAGATTACCAATTTTCAAATTTTCAAAAAACCCGGCCTAGAATCAAACACAAGACCTTAAGAGCTATATTTAAACCTTCTAACTGTCCGGATCACCCAGTGCGTAGCATTTTTCAAATTATGAGTCATATATATAAATTCACACTATATTTATTTTTGGATCATACTAACTCGGTATAGATCCTTTACATCCTTAATTGTAGAAAATCTTCACAATTTACTATTCAAATCTTTTGACTCAATGGACCCCAGGAATGATATTAATTATCTAAATAATATAAACATACTTTTAATTATCAGTCATATATATAAATTCACACTATATTTATTTTTGGATCATACTAACTCGGTATAGATCCTTTACATCCTTAATTGTAGAAAATCTTCACAATTTACTATTCAAATCTTTTGACTCAATGGACCCCAGGAATGATATTAATTATCTAAATAATATAAACATACTTTTAATTACGGGACCCATTGAGATAAACCAACAAGGTTAGCCCATTTAACTAATTACATAGGCATTCTCTACGATCAAGATTGTAGAGGATATCCAGACCCATACCAACTAGTTCTACCGTGACATTTCATGACACTGAAATCTAGCCTAACTTTTCTCCGAGGGTATCCAGTGATGCTGGAGTCTATACGCAATCCCGCTGTCTTTGTTAAATTTGAACTAGAGAAAAACATGACAAATAAATTGATCATGACCGTCTTTAATGTTGTGGTGCTCACCCACATCCATGGCTCAGTGATTATGAAGTAAGTTCACATTATGAAAGATTACAAATTCAATAGCGTTGAAATAGTAGCTTCAAAAGGTGGCGAAATTAAGGATAATGTTTGTTTCGGACCATCTATTCAAGAATGCTTTTCTCACATAAAAATAAATATCGATGTATGTGTTTGCGGAAAAAGTTGTTGTATTCATTGCTGCATTCATTATAACTTTGATCGTTACAATGAAATAAAAAGATAGCCTTTTTATAAGACCGGTACACAATGAAAACAAAATAAATACAACTCTTTTCAAACAAACGCAAGATCTGTTTGTCATCTCTTGCTTGCGTGGGTCTTTTGCCTGTGACGGGGATGTTGATATCCGTGGACCACCGGGGCACTCAGATCTGGTCCGGATAAATCGGACAGAGTTTCGTTGATCCGCGTGAGATCTAGAAACTTTCTGATCCGGATAAATCGGACAGAGCTTCGTCTATCCGCGGAGGGATATAGAAGCAGAGCTTCGTCGATCCGCGTGAGATCTAGAAGCTATAAGCGTATACCTCGGCTAAAGCGAGGTAATAGCTCTTCTTAGTATCAACGCTAAGGCCAATACTAAGGATCTGACGGGCGATGAAGGCTGATGTAGACCACTCCTCCTCTTGTTGAAGCTCACGGGCACTCTTCACTGCAGCAGGGCTTCGCCAAGGCTCTCCAAAACTCCTCTCCTCATCAAGGCACTCAAAGGGGCTATTTATAGGCTTTAGGAGGGGGCAAGGGGGTCTAGAGGACCACCAAGGGGTGCGGACACCCCTTGGTGTCTCGGCTATGGCCGAGACACCCTAGGGTGTCTCGGCCAAGGCCGAGACACCCCTGGGGTGTCTTGGTTTTGCCAAGAATAATGACCATAACGGGTTCGAAATGCAGTCTTTGGCACATCTTCCGGCTTAATCTTTAATTGATAGTAACCAGAACGGAGATCAATCTTTGAAAATACCTGAGCTCCTTGTAATTGATCAAATAGATCATCAATTCTTGGTAATGGATATTTGTTCCGAATGGTTACTTTGTTCAATTCACGGAAGTCAATACATAATCTCATACTTCCATCTTTCTTCTTCACAAATAACACTAGTGCACCCCAGGGTGACACACTAGGTCGAATGAAGCATTTATCTAAAAGTTCTTACAATTATACCTTGAGTTCTCTCAATTCAGCAGGTGCCATTCGATAAGGAGCCTTAGAGATGGGACTCGTACCAGGTACTAGGTCAATTGAAAATTCAATTTCTCTATCTGGGGGCATTCCGGGAAGTTCATCTGGAAATACTTCTGGAAATTCTCGGACAATTGGTATTTCTTCCAAGCTTGGTTTTCCATCATCAACCATCTCAACTGAAGCCAAATAACCCATACATCCATTTCTCAGCGCTCGATATGCTTTAAGGGCTGAGATAATTTTTAAGGGTTCTTGACACTTGCCGCCCTCAAAACAAAATTCGGGTTGGCCAGGAAATTTGAATACTACTTTCTTTTCTCGACATAAAATAGAAGCATGATTTAAGGATAACCAATCCATCCCCAATATGATATCGAAATCATGCATTTCTAGCATCATTAATTCTACGGGGAGTTTCTTGTCGAGAATATAAATTTTACCCCTACAACCTTGAGTTGATACTAATATGCTACCTCCAGGTGTACCAACAAGCAATTCTTGTTGTAGGGTATCACATGGAAATTTGTTTCTCTTAACAAACTGTGCAGCAATAAAGGAATGCGATGCACCAGAATCAAATAGTACTCGAGCAGGAACCGATGCAAAAGTTAGCGTACCTGTCACCACATCCTTGTTTGAAAGGAATGCAATGCACCAGAATCAAATAGTACTTGAGCATGAACCGACGTAAAAGTTAGCGTACCTATCACCACATCTTTGTTTGCTTCTGCTTCCTTCTCAGTTAGAGAATAAACTCGGGCATTGGCTTGAGGATGCTTGTTCCCACCACTGGACTGGCCAGGCTGGAAGGTATTCCGAGATGATTGCTGTAGGGGACAATTTGCTATTTTGTGATCCTTCTGACCACATCTCAAACAAGCTCCAGTATTTCTCCAATAATTTTTCGCTTCATGCCCAAGTTTATGACAAACATCACATCTTAAAGTTGTCTGATTTGGAAATTGCCCTTCTCTGCGTCCAAAATTCTGCTTTTTGTTTCTCCAATTCTTATTTCTCCCACTGTGATTGTCTTGCCAGAATCGCTTCTTTGGGTAGGAGCTGCTCGCCTCATTCTTTGGTTTTGTATCAATTTCAGTCTTCCGAATGTCCGGTCGAAGCCCTTCCTCGAAGCGACGAGCTCTATCTTCCTCATTACCCAACAAGTGAATGGCAAATTTTGACAGATAAGTGAATTCTTCTTCATATTCAGCGACTGTCTTATCACCTTGCTCCAATTTTCGAAACTCTTGTTCTTTTTGTTTGCGAACAGTTGAAGGAAAATATTTTTCATAAAAAATCTTTTTAAACTCCTCCCATGATAACTTGTATGCTTTCTCTCCCAACGTCCTGACCTGCATTTGCCACCACCCGTAAGCGCGTATTTTAGGGATTTTACCATAACCCCTGATTAATTGCCACGTTAATAGTTGTGTGGCTAAATGTTATTTGAAGATTTGGACGGCACCTCTTAACGGAAGAATAAAAACAAATGAAAACAGAAAAAAATCAAAGAAAATCGCAGAAAATAAATCTTAATTTTGGGTGCTCCTCATTTTGACCATTTGTCCGATTATGATCAATTTGATCTTGTTGTCTGGTGACTACAGTTGTCACTGCTTGCAGCAGATCCATCAACGCATTGTTATCTATTGGGTTCCCGGAAGTGGATGCACGGGAAATTCTAGATCTCATCATTTCACCTATTGTCTGATTTAGATCCCTATCTCCATTAGGAGGGGTTTGCTCATTACCTGGAGCCATATCTTCCTATAAATAATAAAATATTTCAGTCAACTATTATACAAGGAGAAATTCTTAAGTCAATCACATATATGCAATTTGAGTAATTAGGAACTCAATCATTACTCAACATAATATCACAAGTCAGTATTTACAAACCAAAAATATATTATTAATATTTAACTTTTTAGTTCATACACATATCTGAGTATATGGGTTCATATATACATATTTTCTACCAAAATGTCCTACATAAACCAAAAGAGTAACTATAAAAACTATTAGTCTCCCGAATATCAACCAGAACCTATAATGTAAGATATATGACTAATTATTAATTCAGAACAAACATATATTATAGGTAAATCAATTCATAATCTAAAGTCTAATAAACTCAAATATAATCAATAATAATTAAATTATGCAGTGCATATGAGTTTGTTGCTATCTCTAGTAATTCATCAAAAATTTAAAATTCTCATATACTAGCTTTTGGACTTTTTAGTAATTTATAATAATGCAGGGGTTATAGGGAATTTATCAAGTCTAGAAGTTATTGTTTATTCACCAGATTGGACTCGTTTACAACTGAATAAAAAGGCAGGGGTTTAATAAATATTTTTCTAATCCTTTTTCAAACTATAAGGTTTGTTTCAAAAAATTTCATGGTTCAGGGGCTTAAAGCAATTTTCCTCTCCTTACATCACTTCAACAGATCATCTTCCTCCCCACCTTCTTCTTCGTTCCTTTTTTCTTCTTCTTTTTTTCTGGTTCCCTCTCTTCCCCTTTTTCTTTCGGTTTTTCTCCTCTCTCTTTCTCTCTCTCTCTCTCTCTCCTCCTTCCTCTCCCTGTCTCTTTCTTTCTCACGACTCGCCAAAGCACCAAGACGACGACAGGGGGGTTGCCGGCGACCAAGATGGCCGGGGTGACGAGGAGAGGCTGACGACGAGGAGAGGCCGACGGCGGAAGTCCCCCCCCCAAAAACAAGGTTAGCTTATTTATTTATTTTCAGTTTATTTCATGCCTCCTAAACATAGAAATTTGCAAACCCTAGATTCTTTATTTCACATTCATAACAATTTAATTTCCCTTATTCATTCTATTTTGATTGATTTACTAAGATTTCTATAACGACTTTACTCTTCTAAAACAAGAAATCAACAAAAGAGAAGGGTTTATACCTTGGGTTTATTAGATGAAATCCTATGTTTTCCTCTCACTGCCTTCTTCCTCTTCTTCTTCTTTTATTTCTTTTCACAAATTTCAATCTGGGTTCTCAGAGGGTTGGGTTGAAGAAATGAGAGGATATTTTCTGTTTGTTTTATTTTCTGCGATTTTCTTTGATTTTTTTCTGTTTTCATTTGTTTTTATTCTTCCGTTAAGAGGTGTCGTCCAAATCTTCAAATAATATTTAGCCACACAACTATTAACGTGGCAATTATTCAGGGGTTAAGGTAAAATCCCTAAAATACCCTTAATTAGTTAATTAATCTGTAATTAAAGGAAAAATTCTCTATAAATCAAGTTTTTTAAGGCTTTAATTAGTTGGGTTACTACAGAACGGCAACAATGACCAGAGAAAGTTCACGAAGATGTCAGGATGCCGGATACTCGTGAGGTGGAACTTTCAAGAGTTCAGACTCGGAGTAAGAGTGCCACTGGAAAAAGGGCGCTGGGGCCGGTTGAAGAAGCCAAGTATGACAAAAGAGCTCGTCGGAAGTTAGCGCTCGAGCCCCCTGCTTCTAAACTTATGTCGGATGCTCAAAAAGCATGGCATACCGAAGAAGAAGAACAAGAATCAACTGCTATGGAACTCTCGCCTCAGCCTGGTCTTCCCAACGTTGGTCCAGCTTCAAGAGGCCCTGCCTCTTCTGCACATTCATTGGATGAAGAAGAACGTGGAGATGAATCATTTGCAGGGGGTACGGATTTCGCCCCCGAGGACACGCTTCGTGATACTGCCTCCATTGCCCCGCATGTTGAAGAAGATATACTTCCTGTCCAAGAACCTACTATGGCTGCCCAGTAAGATTCAATAACAGACAAGTCTCCTTCTGCTTCTATGTTGCTACCCCCTACAGGAAGTACGCAGTTAAGCCCTACGACTGGGGTCATATCAAAACCTACAATCGCCGAGGATCCACCAACGCTTCCTTCCGTTGACGAAGATGAGCCTATGGACCATAGCGATGGCGAGGATGATATGGATGATGATGGTGACCAAAGTGGGGGTAATGAAAATGATGACAACTTGGGTGATGACAGCGATGATCCCGATGATTAGGATATTCCACCACCATCTTCTGCCGACAAAGCGTCAGCCTATATTCCTTGGCCTCTCACTGATAAGTATC